GAGCAGACGGGGGCGGGAGGGGCGGCTGGCGGCTCGGGGTAGCGCCATCAGCCGCCACTACTGTTGCTGGTGCGTGCCACTGAGCAGACGGGGGCGGGAGGGGCGGCTCGTGGCTCGGGGTCCTGCCCGCCAGTCGCCGCTGCTGCTGCTGCTGCTGACGCCGCACAAAACGCACCCGACGGCGGCGCCTCGTGGGCGGGGTTCAGCGCACCGAATACCGGGAGTTTCGCGCGTGTTGAGGACATGTCTCTGTGATATGGTTATTGCTGGGCAGATCTCGTGCGACTGATTCCTATTCATATTCGATGACTGTTGCCCGAGACAAACAAATGTCAAAACAGCTTGAGATTGACCACATGGCTATACCGACACGGTGCATCACGTCATAGGGATGATATTAGCTGTGCAGCGTTGGCTGGTGACCAATCGACCGTCAACGTGAAAAGGCTGCTCACCCAACGGCAGACCTCTTCTCGTTGCCGACGATGGTGCACCGAAACCCCATTGAGCGGAGTTCTAAAAGCGGATTGAAATCCGAACTGTCGCTATTTGATGACCTCGCATCTTTGACTGAAGCGCGTTGACGTTTATCCTGCACCCTCTCAACAGATTAAGGCCAACGTCTCCACCCTGCTCCTTGCCCCGATCTTCGACTGGAGCTGGTCGAGGTCAACACTGTCATCCTTCTGACTTCTCAGCTTCTAGCGGAGCTAGCTGAAGTTAACACCGCCGTCCCTTTGACCTCTTACCTTTGACGGGAGACGTCTGAGTTCGATGTGGCCGTCCTTACAACCCCTCATCCTCTCCCGGAGCTGGCTGAGGTCAACACTGCGGCCACTCTGACCACTGACCTTTGACCGGAGCTAGCTGAGATCGACGCTCCCGTTTGTCTGATGTTTCATCTTCGGCAGGAGATGCCTTAGGTCGATGTAGCCGTCGTTGCAATCTCTTATCCTCTTCCGGAGCTCGCAGAGGTCAATACTGGGGCCACTTGTTACAATACTCCGAGCACTTGCCTTTGATCGGAGTTATCTGAGCTCATCGCTGCCGCTCCTCCGATCTCCTACCTTTGACCGCAGCTGGTTGAGGTCGACGCTGCCGTCCTTGAGCACCTGGACGGCCTGCACCTTCATGCCGGCCATCTGCGCCGAGGCCGGGTTGGTGCCGTGCGCCGAGGTCGGGATGAGACACACCTTGCGGTGGCCCTCACCCTTGGCTTGCAGGTACGACATGATGGCGCGCAGGCCGGCGTACTCGCCCTGAGCACCGCTGAAACAAGGCACGCGGCCATCGTGAGCTCGCAGGCTCTTGTCCTCGTCCTGAACGCTGCTGGAACGCTGGGAGCTACCGCACAAGGTGACCGCAGATTTCCGATTACCACTGTACACGACGTACCTGATTTGGCTGAAGCGGATTCGATTCCAGCTGTGATTCACAGTGCATGATATCGATTCCCACCAAGACCCCGAACAGCACAGAGCGATATTGAGTCGACTATGATTCGAACTCAAACAGGTATGGCTCAATTCCAGAAGTCGACTCAAATGGAGCCGACTCCATCGACAGCAGTTTAGGAGATACCCGTCCTATAGACCTCTCAAAGGCTAGATGAGGCATCTGCGTTTATCTCGCTACGGCTATGTATGGCTGCGATCCGGCTGACGCGCATCTAGCTTGTCGGGCTATGAATGCATCAGACTGCTTACACTGCGACCTGAACCGACTCACCAATGCATGAACTGGCTGGCTGAACTCCGATTAAAAGCCGCAACAACTTGTCATGGGAATCGATTCCACTCACATCCAAGGCCAGTTTGGTTTATTCCGAAGTTGATGCAGGCTCCGAACTGAATTAAATACGTCAAGCGGTAATGAACGGCTTCGAACGTGAATCTAGATAAGCGATTTTTACTGCTTGAGGATTTTTGCTGATGACCAAGCGCTTTAAGTGACGTTTTCAACCGAATGCTTAGTGCAAGCGTAATAACGGAAACATCTACGGCAGGAGACAGAACAAGTTTGTCATTCGCTTGCACGAGCCATCTTTTCTATGTGAAAAACTACGCTGCAGTTTTCATACAGTTGGGAGGACAGTCCCCCTTCCAGAAAAGTTGACTCGGAATGTGTCCGCCCTCCCCTGTAACAGATCCATGCATTCCACGTTCCATTCATGGGTAGGGTCCTTGAAAATAAAAGTGAAAAGCATTTGCAATTATTTTTGTAGTTTCAACAGCTTAATGTAAACTATTTCCAGTTTAATGTTGTACCCCCTAGCTGCCAAACACGCTTTACGTCACGTACACGGACCGCCTCTTTCCTATCACGCCTGGACGCACCCTGATCAGCCACCTGACCCATGACCATACTGCCCCTGAGCACCCCTGGTGAGGACCCGCCAATCTCACCTGTTGGGCTGGAATGAGATCTTGTCGTAGCCTGTGATCTCGCAGAGATCATGCTCGAGCTCGTCGAACAGCTCCTTGTAGCCCTGCGCCTGCTCTTGCGGGCAGAATGGGTGCAGCTCGGTGAAGTGTGGGAAGCTGCACGGCTGCATCTCCGTCGTGCTGTTCAGCTTCATTGTGCACGAGCCCTGCCCACCGTCACCGAGAGATCACGCGTGACCGACATCAGCAAACAGTTTGCTCCATCAGCAAAGCCGCAGGTGACATCAGTGGACAGATGGTGAGCCTGAGCGAGGGATCGGAACCTCTCAAAACTGCGCGGGGTTCGACGTGGCTGCTCTTAGTTCTTGCATCTCAGGGTCCATTTTAGGATGTTACCGCTCCTCTAACCTCGCAGCTGACGTGAACCGGTGGCATGAGCTCACCAGCGGGATCATGGAGTGCACCAGCGAGACGTCCTTGTTCTCCAGGAATTTCATATAGCGCACGATCTGCGTCTCCGACTGGTGTGCGCTGAACACCGGATGCTGGAGGTAGGTGGAGGTACGCCGGAACGGGGAGTCCAGAATGCTGCCCTCGATGTGCTCCTGGTCCACCAGCGACGCGACGTCGTCGGCCGTCTTGGAGGACTCGAACACCCACAACAGGTCGTCGATGTCGTGTGCCTCCACCGTCTCGTCCAGTGACAGTCCCACCTGACAGGCGGCGCAGGTCGCGAGGGCTGATAAGGGACTGCTAATGTCGCCCACCCACCAAATTATGGTCAAGCGACAGCTCCCACCCCACAGTACGTCTGTTGCAATAGATACATGCTTAGGTAGGCATACGAGCAATACGGATGGACTCGAGCCTGTCAATTCAAATTGATTGCACCTGGAATCGATCACAATATGGGAGCTCGTCAAAAGCACGACTCAGTTCGAACTGAAGAGTTGCCTTCATCTAGGGCCGTTGCATGTGCAGACACTGTCGCGCCTTAAATTATCCGGTGGCTGGTCGCTCGGGACAGTGTAAGGCAGGACTCATGGCACAGGCGGCCCGGTCACAACTGGATGGCACGCTCGTGCACATGTGGCGCCGAGCCGGCCGGCAGCAACGTCTGCGCATGCGCCCAGTCATCCTCACACCTGTACAACCCGAGCTCAGCCGGCGAGCATGAGCGGCGCGTTCAGGGGCTCCACCGGTGAGCATGAGCGGCGCGTTCAGGGGCTCTGCCGGTGAGCATGAGCGGCGCGTTCAGGGGCTTAGTCGGTGAGCCTGAGCGGCCCGTTCAGGGCTTCAGCCAGTGAGCCTGAGCGGCACGTTCAGGAGAATTACCCAGCGGTCGCTCCTCGGCACCCGCCACGTTGCGAAGGAGTGCTGCCAACCGCGATGGAAAGAGCAAGGCGGACCGGCATCGCAGTGAACTGTGCATTGGTCGCTTCGAGTTTAGCATCAGTGAAAAGATATTGTGTGAGAACAAGGGACTTGGACTGGCCGCCCAGTCCGAAACCAAGACCCCGATACGTGTCGTTCAACCACGGTGCTATGACTCGGGTGAACTCACAAGGTCTACGGAGATGGCCACCCACATCAACTATTCGAGACGGCGTGGCTGTTTGCCCTCGACTCACGCATCCGTCGTTGTAGTAGCGCAGGTTGATCTCTTTCTGCATGGCTCGCAGCCGGATCTCCTGCTGCGACACCTTGGGCTTGATCTTGAGCGTGTCGTAAAACAGTGGGTTCAGGATGTCGTGACCCCCATCACGAAGTCCTTTTGCCAGGAGGAGTGTGGCGTTATGGATTTTCTTGGAGATCTTCTCGATACCCTGCAAACAATACCAGGTTAGATGTTTGACACAACTGGTACACCTATTCGTACGCAAGCGCGTAAGCAATGCCCAGCTTGAGCTTATCACCCTTAATCACAGCCTACAGCAGCCGACGACAGAACCACATTTTCGTCAGCTTCACTGAAGCCGGCATTGACGCGTCAGCGAAACGCTCCGTAAGCCCGACTGTGCCAGAATGGCTGTGAACCCAGCGCCAGTGCACCGGCGCAGCCGCCCACCTTCGGTCCGTGATAGACGGCGTACATGGCCGACATGTTCGCCAGCAGCGCCTGCGCCGTGCAGATGTTGCTGGTGGCCTTGTCGCGCTTGATGTGCTGCTCGCGGGTCTGCAACGCCAGCCGGTAGGCTACCTTGCCCTCCGCGTCCCTACCAGGGGCACCGGTCAGCATGAGGGCCGTGTCGGGTCACTACGCAGTGGCGGTTCACCTAACCATCTGCGCGTCCAGGGGGGGAGGTTCAGAGTCAGGTCCCCATCGGGCAATACGCGATGTCTTTCGCGTCCCTGAGCGGAAGGCAAGGGCGTACAGGCTAGTCCGTCCTGATTTCCTGATCTGGGACCAGAGGAACTCACGAGTCCGTCCTGCTGTCCTGACCTGAGACCAAAAAGGCCCTTGGAGCAGTCGAATTTAATTTTGTGAATAAGGTCCACAGCGACCCACGGCAGTTACTATCAAGCAGCGTTCGGCGTTTCCCGACCACATTTTGCAAAAACCCATAAAGCGTAAGTACGCGACACTGATTATTTCAACGGGTGAATTCCTGCGAATACGACAGCGGGCAAAGTCCGTTCGTGAAGAGGCTGTACGTCACTGTCGCGCTGGCGATTTCGGATCGCTCGTCCCCCGAGTGGCCACTCCTCAGAGACAGGCGCCCCGATATAGGGACCAGACGCTGGACTAGAGTGAGCTGTTTATTATCATTCGGGTCGTCAGGCACTCAGGCGGCTTGAAAAGCAAGACTAAGCAGAATCCCTCTTCATCGCACCGTTAGTGACGTCAGTCTTCACGCCGTGGGAAACTTCACTGACCCATTCATCCCGATCCTTATGAAATCGCACTTGGTTTAGCTAACCTGGCGCCTTTCATTATCTATGCGACATGGAGAAGACTGACACCACGACCCGATGGCAACCAATTGGGAGGCCCTACTGCCCTAGTGACCCTGCCTACCCACCTGGATCTACGGTGTCCCGACCTCGCCGCCGAGCAGCCCCCGCTGACCTGGTGACCCCGATCATCCGGCCGGGCATGTTGCGCACCAGGTGAGACTGGCAGGCGAAGAAGCCGGCATGCGGGCCGCCGTAGCCCGGCGGCACGCCCAGCCGCTGGCTCGTGCCCAGCGCTATGTCCACGCCCATCTCTCCTGGCGGCTTCAGGATGGCCAGCGCCATCAGGTCCGTGGCGCAGCAGACCAGCGTCTGTGGATATGAAGGGAGAGGGAGTCAGTGGCACAACAGACCAGCGCCTGTGGATATGGAGGGAGAGAGGGTCAGTGACACAGCAGACCAGCGTCTGTGGATATGGAGGGAGAGATGGTCAGTGGCGCAGCAGACCAGCGTCTGTGGATATGGAGGGAGAGAGGGTCAGTGGCGCAGCAGACAAGCGTCCGAGGATATGGAGGGAGAGAAGGTCATTGACAGAGCAGACCAACGCCTGTGGATATAGAGTGAGAGAGAGTCAGTGGCACGGCAGATCAACGCCTGTGGGATATGGAGGGAGTCAGAGGGTCATGGCGTCAGCAGACAAGCGGCCCGAGGATATGGGGGATAGAAGGTCATTGAGCAACGCCTGTGGAGAGAGCCGGTGGCGCAGGGAGCAGGGCCGTTGAGAGAATGAGCATGTTGGTGATGGAGCCCGGTGCTTGTGATGATGCGCCCAGAAATAGCAGTCTGCCACATTCCACCTGTCACTGCCGTGACTGCAGCTGTGGGTGCACGGCAGCAGCCGTCAACAGCTGCCGACTGTTGCGCCGTCTCCCGCCCGCCGGTACCCCTTCAGCCTGCCCACGTACCCCGTTGTCGTGGGCGCGCTGCACCAGCTCCGAGTGGTCGAGGATGGAGCCCTCCGTGTCCGGGTACTGGAACAGCACGCCGGTTACGTCCCGGGTGCCCAGCTCGGCCGTGGCCAGGTCGCCGACCTCGATGTGCAGGCCCAGCGGCTGGCAGCGCGTCTTCACCACGGCGATCGTCTGCGGGTGCAGCCGGTCCGAGACGATCACACGGCGCCGCTTGTTCACCCTGCGACGAGGAGCAGGGGGTGAGGGGGGCAGAAGGGGGGGGGGGCACGGTCAACACCCCGGGACGACTTCGGGACTTGACGGCTCCGATCAACGGCAGGACAGGAACTGGCCACGCATGCCAAACACTCTTGCCCAACAGCTGCTTGCCCAACAGCTGCTTGGAACTAACTGCCCCGGCTCCGCATCACTCCTAAGGCTCACTACAGTCTGAAGCCATCTGACTGCTGGAAACAGTGCAGACTGGGACTGTCAGCCGGCTACACAGTCCGAACACCATGGCATGGGCGGAGCATGCCAAGCCACCCCGATCAGATACAGTCGAAGTCGGTCGTTATGACCGGAGCCGCGGCGAACATACTGCCCTCATCCCGCTCCGCGCCAGTCGTAACAGCTGACGGACCTGTATTGACAGCTAACGGACCTTTAGTAACAGCTGACGGACATGTCGTAACACCTGACGAACCTGTACTAACACCTGACGAACCACAACTGACGGCCCCGTTCAAACAGATGACGGACCTTTAGTAACAGCTGACGGACCTGTCGTAACACCTGACGAACCTGTACTAACACCTGACGGACCACAGCTGGCGGCCCCGTTTAAACAGATGACGGACCTGTAGTAACACCTGACGAGCCTGTACTAACACCTGACGGACCACAGCTGACGGCCCCGTTTAAATAGATGACGGACCTGTAGTAACACCTGACGAGCCTGTACTAACACCTGACGGACCGCAGCTGACGGCCCCGTTTAAGCAGATGACGGACCTGTAGTAACACCTGACGGACCACAGCTGACGGATTCCGCTTAAACAGATGACGGACCTGTAGCACATGGCGATGGCCTCGGCGGCGGCGGTGCCCTCGTCCAGCAGGGAGGCATTAGCCGTGCTGAGGCCGGTCAGGTCGCTCACCATCGTCTGGTAGTTGAGCAGCGACTCCAGCCGCCCCTGCGCCACCTCCGGCTGGTACGGCGTGTACTGGGTCGTCCTGGACACCGACGGCGGGCTCAGAACCCACACCCCAGCGAGCCCTGACACTGGGCACGCGGAGGAAACACACGCACGCGCACTCGCACGCGCGCACCCGCACTCGCGCCAACGCCCAACAGCCCCACGGACAGAGGGTCTCCTTTTTGTGTGAAAATTCAACAGAGTTCTCATGATGACCGCCATTGACCTTCAATAGACAAAGAGAGTACGATAAAACGACGTTACCAGGGAAACATTGGCATCACCCATCGACAATGTTACATTAACAACACTCACAGCGTTGCCAATATAGCCAATATTTGCTTGGTAACGTCGTTATAAAAGGACCTCCTTGCTTTTTGAAGGTCGATAGCTGCCAGTATAAAACTTTGAGCTCATAATGCCGAAAAACCAGGATCTCAAAGCCCCGCCTGCCTATAAAGTCGAACAGAACTTGCTCCCGTGCCAGGACACGAAATTTTGAAATGTGAGCCGTGTTGGAGCATACGATCGTCCACCGTCATTCCCAGTAGAGCGTAGACGACAAACTTACCCTGACGTTGTCACCTACCCTGTGCCCCCTATCCACCTTTGGCAGCTTAACTTCGGTCCATAGGATCTGGCAGGGGCATGGTGGATGAAGGAAGAGCCACGTGATTTAGCGCTGCCCATCGACTGTTCCAAAGAAACAACCCACTTGCCAGGCCAAAACAAACGATTTGGGCCTGGCAGGTCGTGGAGTAGAACGCATCTCGACGAGTGTTTTGCGGTGCTGGACATGCCCCACATCTCGGGATATCTAACAGCGCGTCACCGCTGTCAGTGTCACGGCCAGTGTTATTGCGAGCCGTCGCTCTGGATGAGACCGAGCCCAGCGACTCACCAGCCGGGGTTCTCGAACATGTTCCTGGAGATGGTGTGCGGCACGCGGCAGTTGTAGTAGCCCATGCCGATGTAGGAGCGCCAGATTTGGTTCCGCTGCGCGATGTGCTGGATCCTCTCCAGAAGCTCATGCTCACCTGAGAGCAGCCGCGAGGGTTTGCGCAATACACTCAGGCCGAACGCTTCAATGCATCACCCGTCACCGGTTACTCATGTCGCATCAGTTGCCTGTTTCAGATGTGCGACGCAGCCTTTGTGCCGCTGGCATCCTGTGTGCCATGTATCAAGTGTATCACTTGCCACTCAGCATTTCGTAGACTATTTCCACGTCGAGGACAAAGTCAAAAATCCAAGTTAAGAAACTCTAAATAATGGCAGTGACACTCGCGAGGGGAAAAGAATGGCAGCCAGTCATGACCTGACAACGAGACGCATGCTGATGAGTTAACATATATGCTGTGCGTATCTGAGTGTTTTGTGTGCTGATGGATGCTGACGGCCCTCTTACTTTGAGGTTCCTCAATTTTTAGTGGCTCCTTGAGCTTGATGTTTCTGGGAACCGTGTTGTCAATCATTTCGTCCAGAGTCTGCAATTCATCATGTGGTTAGCATCCCGCGTGGTCAGTCATGTGGTCAGTGTGCCGGGCAGCGAATCGAACTGGCCGCAAAGGTGGCTTCAGGCCGGACAAAATGGACCGCCGTCTACTTTTGAGGCGCAAGAGCACTAGGCGCAGACATGTAAATGTATATCGATTGATAATGCAAATACGTACATAAGCCTTATACTGAACCCGACACATGAATCAGTCGGACAACCTGCAAAGTGCAACCCTGCTGTCGATACTCTCCCTTCAGACGCCAGTAGAAGTCGTGACCTGAATGACCCAGAGCATGCACGCCACGCAAACAGTTGCTGTGAGCCGGCGCTATATTCGGCCCGTGCGCCATCTTTTGGCAAAACATGCGAAACAGACATCTCCATGTGCGTTGTACGTAGAAGACTGATCGGTCTGCAAATGCCACGCGACGCGCCGGCATATTTTTTTGGTCCGTTCTTGTTTAGTTTCTTTGCTTAACGAATGACGTTTCGCTGTTCGAAGAACTGCGTCAGGTGTAAATATAGCCCCAGTTCGACGACTTCCCGCGCTGCGCCATTGCGGGCTAGCGCTCCGCGGTGTGACGTGAAGCTCGCGGTAGCGTCTGGCTATGGTCGTAAGCAAGAAATCAGGTGCCCGAGCAATCGCTGTTTTGCTATTAAACGACGACGCACAACATAGCAGTCGCTGTCACGCATTTTGTCAGCCCCTGGCCGCCACAGGGTGACCAGCGAGGCCTGGTCGGTAACAATGGTCTGGCAGTTACCCTGTCGCTGCGAGTAAGCCACGGGCGTCCCCAGCACCCCCAGCCCACCCGTCCCCCGCGCTGACCTCCTCGTCCGCATCTGCCGGCTCCCACCTGGTAGCCGAGCAGGTGGAGCATCTCCTGCTGATCGGCGTCACGTGGCCCGATGTGCTTCGCCTGGAAGTCGGGATTCTTGGGAATGAAGCGGTCGGCGGTGCCGGCGGCGGCGCTCATGCGCCGGTACAGGTAGGCGGCGCGCCGCGCCGGCCGCCGCGCGGCCGCCCTCACTCCGGCAGCGAACATCGTGACACTGTCCGTCCTCGTCGGTCGACGCTTGGCCACTGTCCGTGGCGCGCGGGGTCGATCCCGGCCGAGCAAGCCCGGTGGCGCCACCCGAACCGGACAGAACCGGCTGTCGAGCCGGCGGTGGCGGCGGCGGCGGCGGCGGAGCGACGCCGCATCCCCACCGACGGACGGAGCGCCGTGTCGATGCCGACGAAGGCGCGTCACGTGGCCGCACCGGCGGTGGTGTGCGCCGCTGGCCCCCACCCGGCGGCTGGGGTCGCCCCTGTCACGCTGCCGGCCGCCGCGCAGTTGCGGGGTCTGGACGGCGTGTCGTACCTCGAGGCCGGCCGGCCTGCGGGGTCTGGACGGCGTGTCGTACCTCGAGGCCGGCCGACCGCCAGCGGCGCACACCGCCACTGGCGTCAGCTGTTTATGCTGGCGCTGACCAGAGCTCTTTGTTTAATCTGAGTTGGGAATACAATGATGGGTGCATCACGGCAACCACGACACCCGCGGCGGTCACGACGGTCATAACACTGCATAGACCCCCGTTATCTGGAGCCCTAAACATGTTAGGACAATACGGAAGCCAGCGTTGTATAGCTCTTGGGAGCTCTATGTTAGATGGACACTTGTGGATAATGAGAGGTGTGGGATGTCATGTCGTATATCCGCTCAAAGGGTGACGGTTATTGCTGCATTAACCCGTCCGTCTGTATCATGAACTTTACATACCACGGCGATGACGAAAATACTGATTGAAAAGGTCTTCCAAAGTTATAAAATATGTGCTGTCAGACTCAAAATCGTACGGCCGCAACAGATCAAATCTGGCCACAAAGTCAATGCTTGACCCAGCTTGGCCTCGGGTGATCTCACTCTGAAAAAAGGTCATAGCGCTAGTGGTGTACCTCAGAGTAATAAAGTTAAGGCATGCTCTGTGAGAAATAAGCATTTATGCATTTATCAGTTTTCTACCGAGTATTGCGAACAATCGTTTGTCACCGACAACATATCACCTCGACAAAAAACATGAATTGTAAGCCATTTATAAATTTACACGTGACCATCAAACTCTCACATGTGTAAGATTATCTAACCTCAGATAGCCAAAACGCCAATGCTGTTCTCAAATCCGCTCAGAAAATATTCCGGAAAAAGGGTGATGGGGGGGGGGGGAGGGGGCTCTGAAGCCTCCACAAGGGATCCCGTGTCTATTATTCCTGCCAGTCAGTCGGCTTTTTCCGGGGCGTGCCGTGTTGACCGGCAGCAGCTGATCAGCTGGCGCGTGCCTTAGCTCTAGATCAGTGAGACCCATTCAGAAGTCGCGTTCGCTCGTGTCCGAGAATGACATGGAGATGCAGCCGTTTATCATACGTGCCAACAACATCGGGTCGGGTAGAGGGATGGTGAACTCTCGCCAACAGCAGCGGGCGACGCCGGTGGGTGTATGTTCACCAAGATGGCAACACATTCAGCAGCACATTCAAACAGCGAAGTAAACAAGATATGATTATCTGCTAGCATTGGCGAGCACGCTGATCACAATCGTTGAAGTGTGTCTTGTTTTTCTGGATGGTTGGTTGTTCTGCCGGTGGTTCGCTATGAGTGCTGACCAAGCCGGGTGGTACGACACATCGGCTGCTGACATGTGAGCACCTTACGACGTATCGGCTGCTGACGTGTGAGTAATTTACGACGCATCGGCTGCTGACGTGTGAGTACCTTACGACGCATCGGCTGCTGACGTGTGAGTTCTTTACGACGCATCAGCTGCAGACGTGTGAGTACCCTACGACGCATCGGCTGCTAACGTGCGAATGCCTTACCACGCATTGGCTGCTGACGTGTGAGTACCTTACGATATGCCAAGAACTATTTGATTTGGTACGAAATTCTACATGTGGGCTCTACCTACTTTTGTTGTCAAATCGATTAAGAAATGCCATGGTTCAGCCACCGCCTCGGCCTCCTACGCCAAACGACATACTGGCGACGCTGTCGCCAGGGCCATACATAAATATGAAGACAGCACAAAAAGGATTTGTTTGGTGGAGCTGCACCCGATTGGCATGCCAAGATTAATTGTGTGTCGTGTGCTTGTACAAGCTTGTCATATGTATCGTGTGCTCGTACAAGCTTTCCATACGTGTCCTCTTACAAGCAAGAGGACACATATGACGCATATGTCATGCCGGAAAGAGTCAGAGCACCAAAACAGAGTTTGATTGCCCGACGTCAGTTGATCCTGGCTGCCGCTGAAAAAATGAGCGGGTATCATTTTGAAGTTTTTACGTGCAACATTTCCCTTACCCAATCCACCCGATATTCATGGGATTGTACCCCCACACACCCGCTATCCATGCTTAATCAGTTATGCCCACCCGTCACCAGCCCACCGATAGGTTTACCCAATCCGATAAGTGCATTATCCTAAACGCATGCTGGTCCACAGCCTCGGCATGGCCAGACCGCACGTAAGCTATATATTCTGAAGAACGCTAAGATATAATGCAAGAAGAAAACGAAAGCGCCACAAGCTACTTGCGACAGGAATCTGTCCAAAAGACTCGCATTCGCAAGTTTTCACGCGGAAATCTGCTCAAGCGCAAATATTTCGAAATTGTGATGGTCAAAGCCACTTCACGCATCATGGCAACCACATGCCCAGAAGTCCCCGGGTGATGTGTCGGTCCAAATAAAGACGAGCCAGCAAGCGTGAGCACTACGTTAGCACTACCAGCGCTAGCGTGACGTCCACAGGAGGCGATACTACCGACGAAAACGTGACGTCACGAAAGGCGGCACTACCGGTGTCAACGTGACGTCACGGGAGGCGGCACTACCGGTGCAAACTGTGACGTCACGAAAAGCGGCACTACTGGCGTCATCGTGACGTCACGGAAGGTAGCACTACCGGCGTCAACGTGATGCCACACATTATGGGAGCCCCTAAACTACCTTTCGGTCTAAAGCCATTGGAGCGCAGGTCAGCTGACAGCCCGACGCCGGATTCCAGAGTTGCAGTCTCACGTCTGGAAGTGGCCAATAACAGCATGTAAGCGACACCGAACACGCGGTCTAAATTACTCCCTGTCGATTGCACGGCTGCTCGTCTGTGTGCACTTCGTTAGCCAGATGTAAAGCATAGACTGTTGCACGGATTTCGGTGAAATTCGTACAGATGACGGGCTCAACCTTCGTAACGATCTACGACATAAATTTACGCCGGTCCGATACTGTTGTCGGTCACGGTGTGCGCCACAACCAGACATGCTTTGACATTTCGCAGGAAACATTCTGCTTATATGTCGGATAGGATGAGTTGCGCAAAGTCCATGCCGCTGGAAATATACCACAAAGTTCTAGAAACAAATGCGCATATATATATATATATATATATATATATATATATATATATATATATATATATATAGTAGTTAACTTGTCCTTACGCAGGACGACTGCCAACTGTTGCAAGCATCAAAAACTAAAAAGAGCAATCAGGATTACGACTCGCTCTGCATTATTAAGACAGGACGCAATGTGGAGCTGGAGCTGGAGCTAAGACGGCTGGAGCCGATGTTTTAACGACACCACCGACACTGGCTCTTCGTGCAGAGGAGCAAGCATCAACCACTTGTCGTTTTTACCCTACCCTTCGTAAAACCTCTGAAAGTCAAACTTATGACTGTTCAGAGCGACGAATATCACCATCACAGCCAGGGTGCGGCCTGGCTGTGATGGCCCCGCCCTGCCCTGCCAATAGGTCCGCTTCCAGCAAAGTTATAATGGCGATTAGTCCGCTTTATTCTTTGTCAGGCCTTGTATGACTTATGTGAGCCAAATAGGAATACATTGGCAGCGTGACGCATTGTGATGAGGTTATCTGCAAGTACTGAAGAAGCATATCTATTTTTTGCACTATTTGGTGTAAGAAAGCGCAGCTGAACGTGGTGCTGAATTCACAGTTGTCCTGAACGTGCGCTGGCCAGATGTTCAAGGTTTGTAGAGACGGCAGTGCATTCAGCAGGCCAAACAGGGTCTTAACTAGAAGCACCGCAATTATTACACGGTTCCACTTTACACGCGGTGAGCGCATGCGATTGCATGTGATTGCACCGCAGTGATTGCCTGTGAATGATGCGCCGGTGCTTGCGTCAATGCCAGGGCTTATTCCGATTCTTGACTTACATAATGGCCGCCAGAGGTGAAATGATACCAAAACGTTGGTGTCAGATGCAATTAGCAATCGGTGGTCATTGCATTTCCTCTATTTAAACGTTACCCAATGGGTGGTAGAGAGTTACAATGGAAAAAATGTGCTGCAGAATATGCAATCTCTAATAACCGGTGTGCGAACAACAGTATAAAGCAAACGGATCTAAGGGTTGTTGGAAGGGCCCGGAAGCTGACACCACCTGTTTAGTGTTTGCTCGCCGCTCGCTGCGCAACCCGAGTCTTCACTGTCACCGCCCGCCTCCCATCCCCGCAGCCGGCGGCCATCCGACCAGACAGGGGCCGCCACAGATGGCGCTGCTCCATACTGAGTTGCTACGTAGATGGCGCTCTTCGTGACGCCACGGGCGTGGAGTTGTCAGAGGTGCACTCTTTCCAAGCGCGCGGCCACTTAAGGTTCAGGTGAAAGGAGTACCTACTTCTAATGTGGTACATTTGCTCTACACGGGATAGTATTCAATGGCACCGACTGTATCTCAGAGGAGGCGCTTAATGCTAACAGACAGCGCAGACATGCTGAAGTCTTGGAATAGGGAGGCGTGCCGATTAGCAAGCCTACGGAAATTTCGGGTGGTAAAAGGACGCAGCGGTGTTGCGGCAGCGAAGTTGCATCGATCGCCAGCATCGTCACGAAGCTATAAGTGTACGGTTAACACTTGTTGCAGGACTCGGGAATGGCAGTTTGGATGCGGATACGTACCACCGGTGTGAGTTTGCTGGCATTTGTCTGTAAATTATGAGAACATGCAGGGGCAGCTTACACAACCGAATTATTTTCCCCCCGAAAAACATGCGATAGAAAATGAG